ACATTTAAGGTTGTGATTTTGATTGACTTAACCATATTTGTTATATATAAGGTGTAGTTTAGAACCTGTTAGTCTTTAAGTTAAAGACCTTTATGTTCACCTTATTGGATTTGTTTTCCCCTAAGATAGCTATTTTGGATTTGTGTTTGTGCTTTCTCTTAGAGATAACTACTTTAAATCCATTAGAATCTTCTTGTTTAGTGTTTGTCAACATTATAACCATTGGCATATCATTGTATAGAAATGCTATTAGGTCATGAAGACTATTTTCTTGTCATATTTCTTGTGTATTTAATGTAGCTTCCTTTTGTATTGTTTCTTCTGAAAGCATGAATTGAGTGCTTTTCACACTATTATTCATTTCAGTTTCAGTTCTTGGTTGTTCCATTTCTTTGTTATTTGGGGAGCTACTATTAGCTTCAATTTCTGCATTTGGTTGCTTTGCTTTCTCATCATCAAGGTTCATTCCTAGACTAAGTTCTTTAGTATAAGGATTTTCTGTGCTGAATTCTGTTATAGTTTCTTCTTGATAATTTATATATTTTTTCTCTTGTAATATTTGTTCCCTTCTTGCTTTTTGCAAGTTTCTAAGTTCAACAGATGCTTGGTATTCAGAACATTCTTTTTTGATATGTACTGTTTTGTTACAAAAGTAACTAAGTTTTGGAGCTTCTCTCCAGTCTGTTGTTACTTTGTGATCCCAAACATGTGTATACCTAGGAATTCTTTTTGTTAGTTCAAGATCATCTGTTGTTTCGAAAATTACCACCTATTGGTCTAATAATATTGAAGTTCCTTTATATACTAGTGGTTTAATAAATGCAATTGGGCCTACATTTTGGAATGCCATTTTAATTTGATCTGAAACAAAATCTTTCTTGCCCATAGGGGCATTTCAAAGCCTAACTGAAAGGAAACTACATCTAATATTGATTGGAATGTACCCCTGGAGGTTTTGTTTGAAGATGGCAAGACCTTCTACAGAATATAGCTGTTGCTTTTCCTCATTTACAAAAACTACCTCCAAATGTGTTCTTGTTCTCTTGGAAATAATTGGTTTAACCGCAACTATGTTATCTCTGAACTTTTGTGCCATTGCTTCTACAATGTCAGTTGTTGGAATATTTTCTAAATTATGTACCTCAAAAATCAACACATTCTCATTCTTTGTATTAATCCTTTTTCTTGGTAAGTAGGTGGAGTATGTTGCCCTTCCCCTTTCTAATTTGGAGAACAATTCTGACCATTGTCTTGGTCTCGGTTGGGAACCTGCTTTCTTAGTCACATGATTCATATCTTGTGTTTTGTTATTATCATATTCCACATGACTATTTTGTAACATGTGTTCTGTTTGTTTTGGTTGTTCTGGCAGTTTCCTGACATGTTTCTTCACAAACTGTCATGTCTTTCACTTTTTCTTCAGTTTTCTCTTAGCCTTGACTTTTGTTCAGAGGTTCCTTACCAACATAGTTTTCATTAAAACCTACTGTTTTGTTTGCATTTGCTGAGGTACCTAGGATGGATTTTTCTAAACTTTTAGTCTTATTTGGCAGCTCTGCTTCTTGGTTTTGTTTCCTTTTTCGAAGAAGGAAACTCTGATTTTTTTGTTTTTTCTGTTCTGCCTATTAAAGAGCCAGACATAACTATACAGACTTGTTTTCTTTTCTTTGGCACAAGAGTTTTAGCTCTTGTGGTATAGTTTTTTCTAAAGTTTAATTGCTTGTTTATTGTTGTATATGTTATTTTGCCCTTCACCAAAAATTGGAGTGGTGAGAGAGAGAGAGTTTTTTTTAGATTAATTTGATTTTTATCTATTTTAAATTTAGGGATCTTTAATAAAAATCAAATTCTGCTAATTTGATGACTAATTAATCATTAATAAATGTCAGGATAATACTAAAATCAGATGATGTTGAAATTTTGATCTATTTTATTACAAAAATTTTGTTCAGCTTTTTTTGAGAGTTCAATTAGAATTTAGGATCAGTGTTTATAATAAAAGAGAATGGGTTTATATTTTTAAATTAAGACCCCAAATTTCAGCATCATCCCTGATACTAAATAAACCTCTTTCATAAACAGCATTCAGAAACATCCAAATTTGTAGATAAATTAAAGTGCTTTATCTCAAGAGATACTGTACACAAGGCTCTTCTACAATATCTATTAAAAAGATGCAGAGTGTTATAATCTGTATATATGAATACTGCCAAGAAAACTTATCATCGGGCTTTTAATTATATTTTATGTCCAGTCTGCTCCCTAAGTGCCATCTAAAAAATAACATTAATCATCAGGCTTTTAATTGATGAGTCATCATAAATATAATTGAGACCTGATGATTGATTTTTCCTAAATAACATCTAAGAAGCAAACTGAACACAAGACATAATTGAAAGCCTGATAACAAGTTTTCTCTTGGCAGCACTTATATATGGTAGTTGCTTAAATATCCGTTTACTCAATCTGCTATTTAGACAATTCAGATGCATATTCTTAATTTTTCTCCCATTAGTTCCTTGCATTTGTCATAAATTAAGTAGGTTGTATCTGCAAAATAAAAAAAAATAATAATAATAAAACTAAAAATAAAGTAAAATAAAAATAAAAATTAAATAAAATAAAAAGAGATTTAAAAGTCATAAATATTGTAACATATAATTTTTCAACTCTCAGTTTGTGAATTATGCCTCCTCAATCAGTGCCTAAAAAAATATGTAGTTGTATTAGTGATGTACAAAAAAAAATATGTGAAATTGCAAAAAAAATCCATTATATAGGCATCAAGAAATAGCACAAGAGTTTACAAAACTTTATCCAAATTTGAAAATTGAGTGCTCAACTATAACAAAAATCCTAATGCAAGCTAATGAGTATAATCAACTTAAAAACAATGAACAAACTGAAAAGACCTTTCATTATTGTTCAGTAAAACATCCCAAATTAGAACTCATAATGAACATATAGGTAGAGCAAGTTACAATTAATGAGATAATTATATCCAACTTATTAATAAAAGAGAAAGGTCATCAGTTTGCAAAAGAATTTGGTATACCTGAAAAATCTTTTATATTTTCGAATAGTTGGGTTACAAAGTTTAAAAAAAGGAATAGATTAAAAAAAATTATAATGCATAGTGAGGTAGCAAGTGCCCCCTTAGAAAACCTACCTATGGAACATATCAAATTACAAGAACTTCTCTCTCAATATAATCCAGATGATATATATAATGCTGATGAGATGGGCCTATTTTATCGATTATTTCCAAATCAAACACTTGCTAAAAAAGTGATAGCTGAAAAAAAAGGTTTAGTAGAAAAATAAAAAATAAAAAAAATAAAAAAATAAATAAATAAAAATGATTTTAATGTTTGCCAAAGGTGAAATTCACTGGGCATATTGTTCCTCAAAAATGACTTTGACATTTAGTATTTTATATACTAAATAAAATGTTTAGTACCCTAAAAAAACTATGAATTTCACCTTTAGTAAATACTAAATAAATCAAAAATAAAAATAAATTAATAAATTTTTTTAAAAATTATCAAGAATAACTATATTACTTTGTGCCAATTCAATCAGTTCTTACAAGTTTTGCCTATTGGTTATTGGTTTCTCTAAAAAGCCATGATCTTTCAATGAAGTAAATTAATCACAATTACCAATCAACTATAGAAATGATAAAAAAGCATGAATGAGAAGTGATATTTGAAAGAGTTGGTTGAAATTTATCGATGCTGGTTTTTATATTTAAGATAGAAAGGTTTTACTCCTGATTGATAATGCACCTTCTCATATGTCATCGAAAGAAAATCATACAAATGACACCAAAGAACCTGAAGAACCTGAAGAGCCTAAAGAATCTGAAGAACCTGAACCTAAAAAACTGAACCTAAAGAATCTGAACCTGAAGAACATGAAGAATCAGAAGAGCCTGAGGAACAGTTGCAAGAAAGATTGTAAGAAAGATCTCAAGAAAGGCCCAAAGGAAGGTCACAAGGAAGGTCACAAGGAAGGTTCCAAGGAAGGTCCTAAGGAAGTCCCCAAGAAAGGCCCCAAGAAAGATCGCAAGAAAGGTCCTGAGAAAGGTCTCATGAAGATCTCAAAAAAAGAAAAAAAAGATCCCAGATTATTCTTACCTTACAAACATCACTGTGCATTTTCTTCCACCTAACATAACTGCACATCTTCAACCAATGGATGCTGGTATAATAAAATGCTTCAAATTGAAATATAAAAATCTCTATTGCCATCATCTGCTTTCACAATTTGAAAAAAATAAAGAACAAGAATAAAACTTTTATTTGGTATTGTCAGAGATAATGCAGAACTCAAATGATGCTAAATTTTGGGGCATCTGTTTAAAAATATTAGAACTTCAATTTTTAATCTGACTATCTGAATTGATCTTTAAACCCAGATGGATTCAAATATCCAGATTAGAGATTTCTATTCAGATTGGCTAAAGAACTTGAATAACGAACCTAATGATGTACTATAAAGCTAGCTTTATCTGTAATTTGATGCAGATTCAATCTGGATTGCCTATCAAAGATAGGATCGAAGTTCTAAAAAATATAAATCATACTAAAACCCTTTAAATTCTAACTCTAAGGCCTAACCTAATTATAAAAAAAAAATAAAAAATTTAAATTTTCATATTAAAATAAGCTCAAATTTTTAGCATCATCTGATTTTAGAATCTTCCTCTACATTAATTGTTTATTATACTAATTGATTAATTTATAAATATAGGAAGCTTATATTACGAGAAGCTATTAACTTTATTTCTGATATATGAGATTATGTTAATGATATTACTATAAAAAATTGCTGGAAGGCCATCAGAATTATGTCAGAAGCAAGTGAATCAAACAAATATAAGAAGAAAGAAGGTAGTCAAGAAGAAAGTAGGCCAGAAAATAAACTTAAAGATGTAATCTCTGAGGTTGACAATGTTGATATGTTGGTTGAAGACCTTGTGATTGAGAATAATCCAGGAGTTCAAGAATTAATAAGTAATATTAAAGAATATACTTACCTGATAGATCAACCAGTCATAACCAAGAATGCACTAATAAATGAAGGAATCATTAAAATGATAAATTACAAGTTTTGTGATAATGATGATGAAACTGATAACAACGATGATAATAAACCACCTTTTCCTCCTCAAATTACTATTACTGAGGCCACATAAGCATTAGAAAAAGTTATAAAATTTCAAGAAAGCCTTGAAGTTGGAAAAGGGTTTGATGAAAAAGAATTAAAGTTGCTATGAAAAAAAATTTAAAGAATAGCATTATGAAAGAGAAAAAAATAAGAAGCAACTTTCAATCTTATCTTTTTTGGGTCTAAATGATTGAAACAGTACAATCTAGGTGTTAGAATTGAGGTTATATTTTTTAGAATTAAATTTTTTTTTTTGCCCTTAAAAGCTGTTTTGATTTTTTTTTTTTCTTTAAGTCATATGATGACCTATAGTTATAAATAATATTTTGATCATAATTCTGCTAAATAAAATGATAAAATTTATTTCAATACATGTATTGATCATCCAATATTTTTCAGTTGGAATTAAGAATATAGTTTAAACATCAAAGAATATAAAGTTTTACTATGCATCCTTATCACTTATAGTGTAATCAGAAATAAATGAATTGTGCTAGCTTCTTTAATCTAATTTCTACACAAAAAAAATTTATTAATAGGATTATAGGCTTTAGCTCATCCATACTTTTTGATAGTCACAAAGAACCTACTTCTAAAATTTCAGATATTTACAGTCCTTATCGATCTGTCATTACAGTCATCATAAGGCTATACAAACTTAAATCAGTTCTTATAATAAAATTGTGAAAGTAATCTGGCAACCCAATTTTTATTTTCAAAAAATTTTATATAAAAAAAATGTATAAAATTTTTTAAAAAACTCACCTGATGTTTAAATTTTGATCTTGCTGGTTTATTAAGTTTGTATGGCCTAAATAGCAATAGTAATAGTAATGATCAGCTTAATTGATCTGTAGTGAAAATTAGTGGGTCTGATACAATAAAATCAACTTTTTCAGTACAGGCTAGTGGATTAAAAAACTATCCATTAAAGCATCAAGCTATTAATTCTTAATACAAGAACATTCCGGTTTGATCAATACACCCATTAGAACATCCAGAGATCCAGGTTGGCTTACAGTAAATCAGCATTTGGAGGCAAAGCTTGTGCTATTCCTGGTAAAGTTTTTTTTAAATTATTGTTAATTTCTTGCTACTGGACAAACCAACAAAAAAAAAAGCTAGACTAATATAAAAAAGCCTAGCTTAAGGAATGTTGAATGCCATGTGTTAAAGCTTCTTAAATTAGTAAAGATTGTAATTTTACTTTGAAGATGTGTTCGGTTTTATGTTTACTTTCAACTATCATAATGATTTGCTTAGCTGTTAAGAAATCATATAGGTATGAATGTACATACCTATGTATGTATAGCAGTTAATCTAACGTTCGTACATTTGTACATATGTATATACATATATATATATGTACATTACATGTCCTGGGACCTAAGAAGAATTGAACAGCAATCCTCTGCACCAGTACATACATATGTACCTCACACTCATCTATTTGATTGGTCATATATCATGAATTCTTATTGGTTAGTTTAAATGTGACTTTAAAGAAAACAATTTATATAGACTGTTAATAAAATTTTGTAATAATGATTATAATATAATTGTGATTATATAGAAGTAAAATATATATTAAAAAATTTGGTAAACTGATGATATGATTATATTAGTTTTGTAATTATATAGAGGTTAGACTGTACCTATAAGAAATTTTTTGTATTATATTATTATTATAGTATGAAAATTAAGAAGGCTTTCATCTATAACAATATGTATTCTAAAAATAATACAGAATATTTGTTTAACTATTAAATATTTAATAAATATTATATTATATATAAATTGTGTAATTGTTAACTATTTTAAATATTATTATAGTCTGTATTAATAATACTAAGGCAAGTGCAATTTAATTCAGTAATTTACATTACTCCTTCTCTTCTCTTTTCTTCCTCTCTATTATAGTAAAAAAAATTTTTGTAAATTTTATAAGAATTATGGGTCATTTTGGAAATATTTTATATTAAATGTAACATTTTGGAAACAAAATTTTTTAAAAAAAAAATTCAAAAATTTTATTATATAAACCCTTGAAAACTCTTCCTACCTCCTTTTTTGAAGTGAAGATATAATATAAACTATCAAATCAAATTAGTATAATCTAATAATTATTACTACTAGTTATAGTTATAAATATTCTTATTTAAAATTTTATTAAATTAATTAACTTTTTTATTCCATGAAAATAGAAGTATATTGTTTAAAAAAAAACCTTTTATTTAAGAATTCAAGATCAATTAATATAGTAAACATTTTTGTAAATTAAATTTTTTTTTATGAAAATAACTAGATTTAACCAGAAGTGATTTCTCCCATCATAAGATTTTTGTATGTACATGACATATGATTGATTATCGAAATTAGGTCCTGTCACCTATCCGAGTAATTAGTCACATGAAAAATAAGATTTAACTTCCTTTTCTTACTTTTATTACTTTGTTGCATTTATTACTTTTATTACTTTGGGTAGATCGATGGCATAGAGTACATTCGGTCTTTCTTTAAGATAGAAGAAAAATAAGTTTTAAGGATAATATCATGTAAATAGATAATAGAGAGGAAATTAACCTCAATTGTAAATAAAACTTTTATTATAAATAAAAGGTGTTCCATCCAAGGGGAAAGTAAGAAGCGATACCCTAAGTAAATATATTTTTGCATAATAAACTTAAGTATCGAACCCATATTAAAAATAAACTATAACCTAACTCAAACTAAAACTATCATTAAAACCATCATCATAACTATTGTTCGGCTATTTATAAATCACTAAACTGCAATTTGATCATTCACCGTAAGTCACATGACTAATCCAGTAACACAAGAGAAGGACTCCAACCTGATTTGATGTATCATAACCTCAGGTTAAAGAAGTAGAAGAAAGACAAGAGCAAGCAAGGGTTAAAAAAGAAGAATAGGTTGAAGAAAAGACTTAAAAGAGAAGATTAGTACTTACCTACAGAAAAATAGTTTGACAGATGCAAATGATCAATATAAAATATGTATTGCGAAATAATTACATAATGATTATAAATAAATAAAAGAGATTTGCTGTTAGTTAATCGAACTTTTTTCACTTGTAATATAAATTTTTTTTTCATTTGAACACATTATTCTTTCATTAAATAAATTATTTTTCACCTATTATACCTTATTCTTCGCTTTTATGTGAACTATACCTTCTTTGCTTGAGTTTTTTGCTTGAGTTTTCCACTAAGTACGTTACTTGAGTACTTCGCTTGAGTTCTTCACTTGAGTTATACCTTATTCATCTCATGAGCTATACTTTATTGTTTGCTTGAGTTGTATTTTATTTTTTTTTCGTTCAAATATAAAAAAACTTATGACTACCTTGTATTGCTAGCAAAATATAGAAAAGCAAGCATTTATCAACAACTATCCTTTATAATAATGTGACTTATTTACACTTTAATCCATGGACTGTTCACCACCAGATCAAGAACAAATAGTGGCTTTCTCTTTATTTCAAACCCAACATGAAGAAATTATAACTAACTCTCAAGATAATGACACTAATTACCTTTCTATGTCTCCTAAAACAAGCTTTTCATTAAATATTTTCATGACTAATAATATATCGAAAGAACAACTACAATGTTTATTTGATTTTGATTCTTCTGATCAGAAATCTGATGCAGCCTACTTACGAGTTATCATAAGACAATCTTTTCAGACATGGGAGAATGCAGAGATGTTTCTTAATGATTATGGGAAACAGCAAGGATTCAGTGTTTGTAGAAGAAGGATTGAAGCACATACTGAAAATTACAAGAAGATAGTTAGAAAAATAGAATGGGAGTGTGACTGTTCTGAAAAATATCAACCAAAAAAAATCCTTGATCCTCAACAACAATGATGTAAGGTCTCTATAGCAACAAATTGTTCATGGCATGTTAATGGAAACATGTCTAAATCAGCTACATGTGTTTCATTTACTAAATATACCAAAATATCATAAATTAGAGAGTAACGTGATAGAGTTTGTTGAATTTTGTGTTATGCACAGTACTACTGGGGCTCAAAACATATGTAATCTCTTAAGGTGAAAATTTCCTGGCAGAAAAATACACAAAAAAACCTTTATAATGCCATTCAAATCGCAAAGCAAAAGATTAATTCTCATCCAGAATCTGATGCATCAGATATGTTACATTACTTGTACAATCAAAAGAGCGAGGATTCTAGATAGTTTATAGAGCCAAAGTTTGATGGCCCTGAGCATCATCTATGTGATTATGTGGATGTCACTTAAGCAACAATACATTTGGACATGTTTTCACGACATAATTTTCTTTGATACAACCTTATGTACCAACAGATATAATATGATGGCTTGTTTCTTTGTTGCTATTGACAACTGCAACTGTACTCATTTGGTTGCCACTGCACTCTTAGAAGATAAGACACAAGAATCTTTTGTGTGGGCTTTAACAATGATCAAAAAATGCATAAGTAATATTATACCTCAAGTGATATTCACTGATTGTGATTTTGCTATAGCAAATGCTATTGCTCTTGAGTTTCCTGATTCAAATCATCATTTGTGTATGTATCATATTGGTATTAACTTAAAAAAAAATCTGTGAGGAAAGTTTCAATCCAAAGAATTCCAACACTTCGAGTCTGATTTTTTTCTTTGCTGCAATACTTTATCAATCAACCTTTTCGAAAGTCAATGGCAATCTTTAAAACTAAAATACCCATCTGCTGTACAATATCTCAAATATCAATTGGAGCTCTTAAAAACCAAATGGGCCGCCTGTTATAATAATGCTCTATTTACTGCTGGTGCCAATATAACACAACATGTGGAAAGCCTCAATAGAAAAGTTCACGATTGTATAGAAAAGAAATCATCACTTTTAAATCTTACAAAAGAAATACAAGAACTTCTTAATAAAGAAGCTGAGTATATGTGGTTAGAGGAATACAAAGATCAAATACCTACTATTGAAATGATAATGGTCCTAAAACAGTTTTTTCAGTCAATTGAATCTATATAACTGAATTTCTTATGCCTTCCATGGTTATAGCCATATCTCAGCAAATGCAAAAATGTTTTTTTTATGATGCTTTTAAGGTGGATAGTATGAATCATAATGATTTTATCAAGGTGAATAGGGTTTTTCTTTAAACTACTATATTAAGGTTGGGAATTATACAGTATATGTAGTATTTATTATACAGTATAATTCCCAACTCTGTATTGTATACATATTCTAACATATATATATGATAGAACCAAGTAAATCAAGATTATATTGAAGGAGCACAGGAGGATAACTATGAAGTTTCTAAAATTCTTCTGAAAGAAATTCTTTCAACAATTGAACAAACAAAATTTATAGAAATTTGGCAGTTGGCAATTTCTGGTGGCTTTAAATTTCATTACATTATTTTAATATTTGATGACTCTTATAGATGTACATGCAATCTTTTAGTTACACACAGATATCCCTGTAGACATTTCTATAAAATTTTACAGTGTTCAACAAGGGCTCAATGGCACATAAGGCTCATCTCTGAGTAATAGTATAAAGATGGTAAAATTAAAAATCATGACCAGGTTCTTATACGACAATCAACAATTAGAATCTGCCAAGATTCATCTGAAGTTGCCAATACATCAGACTTTAATTTGTTATACATTAAGCAACTATGTGGTAATGAGATTTATATACCTAGACTTCAACAAATCAACTTTAATCAGATGAAATATAGACAGGCTCAAGGTATAATGTGTAAAATGATCGATCTAGTATTGGACACCAATTCTTATGAAGAAATGATTGGAATTTGTCAAGAATTTATGTTTAATAAACAGCAAATATTGAATAAATATGATCATGAAGAGCAAGGTAATTTGAATCTAAATGTACAGAATCCCATAATCACAGTGTTATAGGTGAAAGCCTTCTTGATTTTCACACTATAATGATAACACAGCACAGGGAATCCCTTACGGGTATATGTGATGTTCAAGAGGGAAGTATAGCTTCTGTTAGACGTTGTCAAGAAACTATACCCTTCTCTGAGGCAGTTCGGGAAAGGTAATG